CTTTTAAGTGTCAACCCCACTCAACTGGGCCAGAACAAAGTTGGTAAACCTTTTTGGCACCAAATGCCGAAACGGGAGCACATGGGAGCACTAAAAAACGGAAGAGCAGCTCTCCGGAATGCATGCGCCGGAGCGCCGGAAACCAGAAGAGCAGCTGGTCTTCCGGTTTCTAGCATGCATGCATGAAGACCAGCTGGCCAGTGCACATGTGTGTGCTGGAAACCAGAAGCTCAACTTCCCCTTGCGCGCATATGCACCAGGAAGCTGCTCTTCCGGGTTCCGGCACTCCCACACATGTGAAGACCAGTTGGCCGGCATACCGGAACCCAAAAGAGCAATGGGCGATGGCTAGAGGGATGGCTGTGTGTGTCTCTTCTGGCATGCGTGCCATAGGTTCGCCATCACGGAGCTAGAGTAATAAAAGTTTGTCAGTGTGATTGTTTTGCACATCTCCCACCAGAGAATTAGAAGGTATTTGCCTGAATTACTTCTGAATGTTTCTCCAGACTTAAAAAAACATTTCAGCCCTTTTTGCCTAAGTAACAGTTCCTGCATATTTCAAGTCCTCTTCCTTACTCTCACAGATATTATAGGTTTAGGTAAGCCTAACAATTTAGAGGGGGGAAGGAACCACAGTAATACTTTAAATGCAGTTTAAAATGTTTAATGTTACAGAATGGTTGGTTTGATATGAGCGTAGCATGTCACGTGATCCCAGCCATAAACCATATTTTAAACCTTGGCAGGATATGTAAGTCTAGTCCAGTGGCTCCCAATGTGGGACCCTCACCCGACAGGGGGACAATTTGAACTTCGTTTAAACCAAGTTAATGGCCTTTTAGGCTTCCTCCGTGAGAGTAGAGTTCACTTTTTGAGTAAAGTTAAGAATTATAGGGGAATTATACCAGGATTTTAAAGATGCTTAGGTGGGACATGGCCACAAAAAGATTGGGAAAAAGACTGGTGTAGACTAAGACTTAGAGATAGAGTTAGAAATTTCATTATTGTATTTGAAAATATTTCTATAACTCTTTAAGTCTCCAAAAGCAGATCCCAAACAGATTTGACCCTGCCAAAAAAGAGCAGTTGAATTAGGTTTCAGTAATAGTAAAGATTCGGCAGGGAGGACCAAGGAACCTCATCATCTCTCTGCCCAACTTATCTCACAGAAATGCTGTGGATAAAAATAGAATGCTAGAATTACTGAAGAATAGGTAGGATATAAATTTAATGAATGAATAAATGTTAAACATAATTACTAAAAAATAGAATAAAATATAGTAGCCAGTGAAAAAGCATCAGAATTTAGTACGCAGGATCAATTTTTACTAAAAAAATAAAATATATTTATGCTATTATCCACATTTTTATATTATTATTTGCAGAGTAAGGTCAGAGAAAGAACAAGACTCAGGAATAGTTCAACTTTCCAATGAACCCCTGACCATAAAGAAGACTGTGATTTTTTCTTTTTAAAAAAAAAGGAAGGTAACATATTAAGAATGATAATGTTGTCACTCATTGGCCATTGAGAAAATCATACTACTAGGTTATTGCTATATCAAGATGACCCATTTGGACTTTGTAAACAGAGCTTCATATACAAGGCTGAGTCAGAAAAGAAGGGTCTGGAAACTGATAACATTTGAGAGTGACAGATTAAATACAGCTGAGCTTCTAATGGAGAAAAGCCAAGCTTCACTGGGCAAAAAAGTATTTGTTCTGAAGTACAACGAAGGGAATATACTCAGTGGAACAGCTCTGCCAGTTTGTGTTCAAATGAAATCTCCTGCTACACACCTCCCAACGTCCGATAAGAACTCACAGGTTAGGCCTCCTCCGGGTGCCGTCGGCCGGACAATGCCGACTGGCGACCACTCGGGGGGGGGCCTTTTCTGTAGCTGCTCCGGCTCTGTGGAACGAGTTACCAGCAGAGATCCGGACCCTTCCCACCCTCGTGGCCTTCCAAAAAGCCACCCAAACCTGGCTGTTCCGGCAAACCGGATGTATGTTGTGTTTTTAATACTGTTTGTACTGTTTGTATTCTCCCCCTGTGTGTTATTTTATTTTATTCGTATTTGTAAGCCGCCCTGAGTCCCCCGGGATTGGGCGGCATATAAACCCATTAAATTGCGAATTGCAAAATCCTCCAAAATATGATTTATTAAATGGCCTTTAGGTCACAACATCAAAGAAAGACAAGATTATCAAGGAATGTCTACTCTGTTGGTCTCTCCATCCCCTTAATGTATCTGCTTTCCTCCAAGGAGTTCTATGGCAGTATAGGCCATCTCCATCACATTTTTATCCATAAATAATCTATAGTAAAAAAAAAAGTTTACTCCAAAAGATACAAGGTTTCAAAAATGCTTATTAAGTTTCTTAGGCATGGATTTGGCCATCTAAGCATGAGGGAGAAATAAATCAATGAAGTTCAGTTGTATTTTGTAACTGTATTTGGGAAGCAGATTATTTTAATTACTGCTTCTTTGCGATTCATATTTTTATGATGTGCTAAAAGAATTTATATTTAGGAAACTTCATATAGTTCAGCTTCTTTTATAGGTGGTTTTGAAAACGCCATTCTATGGTTGACTACACATCAGTCTGAAATCCAAAAAAGTAAACATATATATTTTAGGAAATATATATATTTAACGGATGTGTTTTAGCATTCTAAAGTTAGTTATGCTGTTTGGAGTGGCAGAGATTAACCACCAAATGGCATTCTTTCAAAGATGCTTTCAATGTCAATTAAATCAGGATGAATAGTAATGATGGATTGAAACCACCCCAAATCTATTCCCTGAGAACAGCTACGTATGCATAATTAAAAGTTTGCACAGGTTACAACACAAATACTGTATATCTCATACCCAGCAGCATTTCTCATGTCCCTAAAACTTATATTTATCTAGAATATAACATACCAGGATTGTCTAAGAATTATTTGAAAGCTTAAGAACATATTACTTTTTGTATTCCTACTAGCAGTAAGTGGTGCTATCGTGAAGTGTCTTGTTGAATATCTCATACATGAAGAGGCCAATTCAAAAACAAAAGTTATATGTAATTTATCACAACATTAGCCTTCTGCACCAACGTTTTATTTTTGCACACTCCATTAATATTACAGAATATATTTTTCTCTCTAAAAGAAAATATTTGCTGGCTCCAGACAACGCTGAGATTTCTCAATGTTGATGAATAAAAGAAGTTTCTCTGAATGCCCGTTGCCCATTGCCAACCTACATAAAATGAAGATGAAAATGATGCAAGGCTTACTCTAGGTGTACAAAATAGCAATGTGCTTCCAAAAGGCCTAACCAGGGTTTAACAAAACCCATGAACATTTCTTCCTTTATACTTCACTTTCAGTGGGACCTTTTAAAAACAAGTCCCTAGCAAGTCCTCTTTAAACTATTCCTAGTAACTTACGTGGGTAGCTTTACTACCTACCAGGAGCAATGGCAATGAACTGCTGGATACAATATATAATGAAAGCTTCCCAACATATTCCAGGGAAGCTGTTTTAATAAACCAATTCACCCGTCCTGCCAGCTTCCCATAAGCTTGCTCGCACCCGTTGCCTTATATTAACTGCAAGCTTGTAGGTTGTTAAACCATCCTTTGCCTAGCCTCTCTGAATGCCTAGATGCCCAAAACACCCGTTTCTTACCTTGTCAAACGTCGCATAAGCTTAACCACCCAAACTTTTGTCCGATAACAGCAGCAGCAAGGAATGAAGACTTCCTACACGCAGCCTATGCGTTAAAGCTATCCAAGCGCGCAGGCAAACATCCTTATCTATAGGCTCATCATAGCCGAGACTCTTCCTGTATCGCATCCCAGAAAGGGCGGAGTCGAGAATACGAGCTAAAGAGCCCAAACGCACTTTTGGGAGAAGGTGAAGAAAGAAACTTTTACGCCGTGGGAGCGGTGTGGGGGGGAAACAGGAGAATGACCCTCTCGCCCAACTTCTACAAACTTGTTCGATCGCCTGGAATATTTGATGGCGGGTCCTCTGGAGTTCAGCCTTTCTAAAAGAATGTAGAATGCTAAAGTTCCGCCGAAGACATAAAGTGGTTGCAGGATTGTGTGTGTTAACGTGGGAACCCAGCTACCACACCGCTAAGGGAAACACACAGCTACGCGTGATGAAGGCTTACTTACACCCGGCTAGCTGAGCGAGAAAGCGCGTCTGATTTGAGTTAGTAAAATACCAACCTCCTCTTACTCAAGAGAAAACACTGAACTCGCTGGATGTTGCTTCTATATGTCGTATTGCACGTTAGATTTTAGACACTGCTTTTGCTGAAAAGTCTAATGGGACGATGTTGAAAACCAAAAGGAACATGTCAGAACAAATACGTGCTTAACCTTGGATTATGTCGAGAGGGAATGGTATGGAGATGGTTGAACAGATGGGCAGGTGACCAACAAATAGAGTTGTGAATATGTGGCTGACTTCAAAGAGATTGCGATAGTATAGAAAATTGATGGCAATACTTTGGATCTCAAGAAGAACAAATCCTACTGTACTAAATGAAGTAAAATCAGGATGCTCAGCAGAAATACTAATTGTGAGCCAAATTGCTGCATGGTGGGAAAGTATCCATCTTTCTTCATTCAGCCTTTCCAATTAAACCACAATATGGTGCAAACCGAGCTGGAAGCCAACATTTGTAAATCAGATTGGTTAGAGTGAGACAATTACATTTGAACTTTTACTAGTTCTATTAACTGGCCAGTCTGGTTTCTTTGCTTTGGGGCAGTCATTCACTCACTCAGTCCCTGCCCACCTCCTAGGGTTGTTGTGGGGAAAATATTGTAGGAAGTTATCACCCCAGCCCTCTCCCAGAAAAATGAAATATCCTAGGAAATATTGAAAAGGCAGAATATTTCTCTGGATGTGAAAAGAAAGAAACATGTTTTAAAAGNAACCCAGCATTTGGACTCTCTTCGCAGTGCCCTGAGAACGGCCGTTCAGGTAAGCCAACGGTCTTTCTGCTCTTATTGCCACAGTATACTCTTTATTAAAGACTGTGGCCAACATTTTGTCAGATTTGCTCTTCATTGTATGTTGGATCTCAGTTATCTGGGTTAATACTCCACTATGTGGATACCACAGCAGGAACTCCCCCCCCCCCACTACTGCTTTGAGTAGTCAAATGTAGCTCCCTAGATGATGGAACCTGGAACATACCCATTCTGTTGGATCCAGTGGAACAAGTCTATGAAATCTGGAAAAGGCAATTCCTCAAATGACCTGATCCTATGCAATGTGGAGCTTTAAAAGTCAGCACCAATAGCTTGAAGTGGGTCTATAAATAAACTGGTAACAATGCAGTTGTCAGTGTTCCAAGTAATAGATCTATCTCAAGCAAAAACTCTGAGGCAGGTGGATTCCTTAAAGAATAGCTTTATTGGAAATATCATATTGGCACATATCTGGTGAAAACCATCTCTGAGGGGCCCCTTGGTTTTCACGTAATTAAAACGGAAAGATTTCCCTCAATCCCAAACAGTCAGTCACATGGATCAATCAAGGCAGTGTACGCTGGTCTGGTGACATCACTCCTCCTTTCTCCGGCCAGGTGTGAGAACGTCCTTGGTTCCCAAGAGAAAGCATTTTATTTTGACTATGTAACCCCAGCTATCTCTAATCCCCCCTCCCTATCCCTCGCTCCAGTGTGGAAATGGCTTCAGCCAGATCAGCCTGAGGGTTGACAGCAGCTCATGCAGCAGAGGTGTAATGTGCCCTGTAACAGAAATACACATAACTGCTGGCACCTTTTGCACTAGCTGAAGTTTCCGGGTAATTTTCAAAGGTGACTGCATGTAGAGCATATTGCAATAGTCCAATTGGGCAGTGCAACAACACCATCTGGTACCAAAGACGATGCAATCCTAGAACCAAAGAGCCACAAATCCCAAAGCCACAGAGTTCAGTTGAAGTCTGTTGTTCCCCATCCAGACTCCCACCTTCCCAAGGGTAATCTGCCCTCTGTCTTCTACTATATCTTCCTTTGCCCATCATCACTGAGATATTACTGCCCGCTACTTCCCCCCTTGTTGAACCAGCACTCCTCCCAAACGTGCCACCTCTTGCCCAAGTCCATGGATCCCATCCAAAATAGAGATATAAAGCAAACATTCCCTATACGGCTACCTGTCTTTTCACTACAGAATGCTACCAACCATCTATCTGGAATCTTTTCTACTTGATATACTCCTTTAGCAACCATTAGATGTTGTTAAAAGTTGGGTGAATATGAGATCATGCTTTTGACACTGACTTAAGATGAGTTATTTAAGACGCCTTTTATTTTAGGAATGTTGAGTGGGATTTGTCAGCTGATGTAACACAGAAAATCAGAATTTGCACTTCTGGGCTGTCACAGTGCCTTGTGAGGAAATGTTGGGGAGGGAATGCCCGATATGAGAGATTCATGAAGAGCTGCTAGAGCAGTCTTCTGTTTTCACATTGTTGTCTTCTCTGTCCTCAGTGTCCCGAGAAGATGCGGAGGGGATTTTGTTGATGGAAGAGGAAGGTCACTCGGATCTCATTAGCTTCCAGCCAACAGACAGTGACATCCCCAGTTTCCTGGAGGATTGTAACAGGGTACGGTTGACATTTCCTTCCTGGCCAGAATAGATTCTCACTGATTGTTGCAGCTTTGGATGCTTGCATAATCTCATGCTTAATAAGTAGGGAGGAAGGTGGGAAGGTATCGAGAAGAAAGCTTTGCTTATTTATATTTAGTGCATGTTACCTAATCTAACATTTTGCTTCCTCAAATTCCCATAGATGTATTAGCACATGTAATGGGAGATTAGAATTCATTATGACACCTTTTATAAACTATCCAAAAAGCAGAAGCCAGGTATACCAGTGAAGTTCAAAGGATATAACTATTTGTCGCAAGGAAGTGATGCCTACTGGCTGCAGAATGTAGCTGTACAACTTTTTTGGCACTAAGAACTCTGAATGTAGAGTCAAGGCAAAGTAGGCAGAGCAAAGACAAAAAAGCTACATTTGATTGATTTAATGAAATTTTAATCCAGTGCAATTAATACAACGGCTCTTTCTGTATTTAACAATATAGTTAATGAGATCTCAGATTCTTTTTTTTCACATTAGAAATTACAGTGCAACATCACTGTACATGAACTTTTGGAGGATTTTCAGAAACTGCAGAAAAGGAGGTGTTTTTCTTTCCCCTTCTGAAAATTATGTCTTGAAAAAGGAGAGTAAAGGTTATTTCAGTGGCTTAGAGAAAAATAATTAGCTATCTCAGTCTCAAAAATTAACTTTAATTATTTGCATATACACATGAACATGTCTACAGTAAATTCTCATTATTTTCTGTAATTATTTTCTGTGAAGTCCTCATGAAAGGGGGTAAAGTAAGCATCTCAGAAGGGGCTCTCCCTAATTCTATGGAAAGTAAAATCAGGGAAGGAGATAAATTCTTTCAGACTGGCAAGCGTCTTATACTATAATCTTACGATTATAGTAAGTATTAGGTAGTTTTAGTATTTGATTTCCTGTCTGGATTACCTCAAAGAGTTGGCAAGATCGGAATCTAGGAAAAATGGATCTAGAACTTCATAATTTATGTAAAGAACATATTTTATTAGCAAAGAACCTCATTCATTAAATACTTTATTAGCAAAGAACCCCATAAATGAACCAAATATTTATCAAAACCCAATTTGGTCTAGTGGTTAAAGCACCAGGCTAGAAACTGGAAAACTGTGAGTTCTAGTCCTGTCTTAGCCATGAAAACCAGCTGGGTGACCTTGGGCCAGTCACACACACTCAGCCCAACTCATCTCACAGGGGAAAATTGGGGGAGGAAGGAATATTAGATGTGTTCACCGCCTCGAGTTATTTATTAAAAATAATAAAAGTGGAAGGAAGGGAAGGGAGGGACAGAGGGAGGAAAGAAGGAAGGAAATGTAAGTTGGATCACTTGAGTCTTTTTGCAAGAGATACCAACTTGATCTGGTTTGTAAGTTCCTAGATTACTGGATGTTAGAACTGAATTATATTGCACTGAGTTTGGGACATCTTGATTGATAAGAGGAGACAGTGGCTTTCTTATATGGATCCGCAGAGCATCTGACTATAGGACTATGGGTCCTAATAAGTTATCTTTCTTTTGCTTTGTTTATTTTAGGCCAAGCTACCACGTGGAATCCACCAGGTGAGACCCCACCTGCAGAACATTGACAACGTGCCTTTGCTCGTTCCTCTGTTTACAGATTCCACCCCAGAAAGTAAGTGAGGGGCAGGCTGGCTGGATTCTTTATTGCTCAGATTGAAAGGCCCTAGGAAAAGCTAGAGGGTGAAACAAGAGCTCTCTATGGATAGTCGTTTAAGAAAGACTTATGGAAGATCGGTGTTCTATATGGTAACTGCAGGCAGATTATTATATGCACAAAGAGAGAGGAATACTGAAATACCCACAGTGAAGGAATGGATGGTGAAGATAGTAGAGCTGGTATTGTTAGCAAAACTGAACTCTATATCAGAGACAGGACAATACACACTTCTTTAAAAGATTGGGAAACCTTTTATGGACTTTTTGCTGAAAATTTTTTAAAAGTGAAATGGTGATTTCTAGATTTGACAATTGAAAAAAAATTAAGCGGCAGGAGGGATTATTATAAGGTACGGGAGGAGGGAGAATGAGTTCCTTTGCAACCGCTTAAAGAAGGATGGAAGTCCCCTCTGTAATTATTTTTTTTATTTCTTTAACTATTCTTTTCTGCACTTTTTCTTTTCTGTGTTTTTTCTTTTCTTTATCATATTTCAGTGCTTATTTGTAAAAATAAAAATTAGTCAAAGCAAAGAAAGCTGGAGGGTAAGTTCTTTTTTCCTTTTCTCTTGCCAGCCATGTGCGAGATGATCAAGATCATGCAGGAGTATGGGGAAGTCACTTGCTGCCTAGGTAGCTCTGCCAACTTGCGCAACAATTGCCTTTTCCTTCAGAGTGATATCAGGTAAGAAAAAGAAAGCAGCAGCCAATGTTCTGATTTTGAGAAATATATGACCTCATTCCTGATTTTTTGGCCTTTGGGATGATTTCTCTGCTGTTTCTCAAAATTTTCTTTAAAATTACCATTTTTCTTTGCTTTGCCTCAGAGTGCATTTCATGCCTTTGAAAGTACAAGTTGCATGTTCTCCCTTGCAACCAATAACAGAATGATTCAGGAGTGGGCAACCACAACCCCCAAATTTAACTTTTCTCAGAGCAGCGTAAGATCACAAAGCTGAAGTTTAGCACTAAATTGATTTTTCCTTTCCTCGACACTTAATCTCCTTTTTGTGGTCTTGAAAGCTGGGCATTACAGGATGCAGTGGCTCTGTGGCTGAGATGCTGAGTTTGTCAGTTAGAAAGGTCGGCAGTTCAGTGGTTCAAATTCCTAGCACCGCGTAACGGAGTGAGCTCCTGTTACTTGTCCCAGTTTCTGCCAACCTAGTAGTTTGAAAGCACATAAAAATGCAAGTAGAAAAATAGGGACCGCCTTTGGTGGGAAGATAACAGCGTTTCGTGCACCTTTGGTGCTTAGTCATGCCGGCCACATGACCACAGAGACGTCTTCAGACAGTGCTGGCTCTTCGGCTTTGAAACGGAGATGAGTACTGTCCCCTAGAGTCAGGAACGACTAGCACATATGTGTGAGGGGAATCTTTACCTTTAAGCTGGGCATTACATTTTTCTTAAAGTCATGAGCAAATGTACTTCCATATGTAAAGAGATTCTGAACTGGAAAATCCAACCAGAATTGGATTTTCCAGAATTGGAAAATCCAATTCTGAACCTGAAAATCCAAATCTTTTATACTGATGTATAGAGGATACGTTAAGGAGCCATGAACATTATATATTAAGTCAACTACAGTTTTGTCTTCCAGGATCTTTGAGCTTTAATCTGTCCCTCAACAGCCAAATTAGTCTCTTGTAGTGTTATAACATCTAGCCTATTATCTATGGCCAGTCTTCTTAGGTACTTGCATTTATTTCTACTTAAGCCTTCTATGTTTAATTGCCAAATATGGATTTAGGGTCCGGTATCTTTTGTCAGTGAATTCTTAAAAGAATTGTTGTAGTCGAATTGCTGCCTCTGTAGCTTTTAACTATGAGGGATATCCAGTTCGGTCGCCATGTGTATAGACCAGGGGTATCACTCTTGTGGCCTGTGGGCCAGATGCATCACGTGCTGGCCACGCCCGCCCCCAGTTTAGCGAAGGAAAAAAGTTGCGATACGTCATGTGACGACAAGGTGACACCACTAGTTTGACACCCCCGGTATAGACTTTTAGCTGCTCTGTTAAGACAGATTGTTGCTGGGGTTACACCATCATGGAGGTAGTCTGCAGTTCATACCCCTTAGATTCCTTAGATATTAAATTATAACATCTATCCCATTGCCATTCTGTGGCTTCATATTATGGTGATTTTATTACAGTTTTATCTTAATTTAATACATTATCTCCTATATTGTACTGGCCATGCATCCTATATATGTATACATTTGCTGATGCTTTATTTAAACTAAATTTGTATAGCAGTGATTGCATGACCTCTGTAGATGCCATATGCTAAATAAACGTATGGAGGAGAGCTGAGGTGTAAAGCAGTAGCAGCTGGGACACAATTTTTCAGTGAAATTACATTGTAGCCTCAGATTCTGGAAGTGGTACATAGACACCCTAATTAGTTGCGAATGATATTGGTCAACATACAATCTACAATTTTCATTGTTTGCTTACAACCAGTATTATTTTAGATCACTTTTTATTTCATTGTTTCTGGTATTTCCCCTGTGGTATTAATCTTCCTTATGTCATATTACCTATATAGCATAGCACTGGATCCTCTCTATCCCTCTCGATGCTCCTGGGAGACCTTTGGTTATGCTACCAGCACAAACCTGACCCATATTTCTGATGAGCTCACGCCTCTTCAGCTCTCTGGCCAGCTGAATAGCTTATCCTGCTCCTTGTCTATTTGTCCTGAAGAAACCATTGGGATCATCAGACTTATAGAGCAAGTAAGCCCACTTTTCTTTCAAGAAGGTAGAAGATACCATTGTGACATCCATCAAACTATCATCTTAATTATGAGCATAACTAATTAATATTGCTGCTAGCGTCTAGCCTAAATTAGACAAAAGTATCCTACTTCAATTCAATCTAGGTAAATTTCCGGTATGCTTCCTTTTACTGCTAATATAAAGTGGTATCTGAATATAATTCAGTAGGTTAAGAAATTTAGTGGTTCATTTCTTAAAATTATTTTGAATTCTGAGAAAGCATTTGAAAGGCTTGCATTTTTTTGAAAACTCATTTGGCTTGTTTAATTTTGATTAATTAAATCAATTTATTTTCAATTAATCAATTAATTTTGATTAATATTGTATTAGTTGTCTTCCTCCATACCTTTTTGGAAAGCATTTGCTCTGAAAAATTGCTCCATAATAAAAATATTATCTGTTATTGTAGCAGTAGCCTCTGGTGTAGGTAATAGATTTGCTGGTTTGCTCATACATTCATAATATCCTGAATGTGTATTCACTTTTAGGCCCGCCATGCAACCTATGGCATACGGAAGTGCTTCCTTTTTCTCCTGCAGTGTCAGCTGACCCTAGTCATCATTCAGGTGAGTTATCCTAAACAATTTCACAAAGCAGAAAAGGCATATTGGTAGAAAAATTTACCACCACCGCCAGGGATCCAATATTGGAAATTATTTATCTGAAGAATTCAGTTTTAGCTTACTCTAATCCAGTCTAATTTGTTATTTCCTGATTTCCCCCACCCCCCCAAAATAAATGTTAGGGAAATGAAAGAAATGTAGAGAGAACTTTGGAGGCAATAGATTTTAGCAGCTACTTTTTAGGGGAAAAGAAGCATGGCAACAAATGGATGTATGTGTTTCCAGTAAGCAGATATCATATCTAAATTCCTCATGGTCTCTTTGCCAGTTTTCCTGTAAGTGGCATATACAGGCATAATTCTGAGTTTTTCAAGCAGAGCTACAGTATGTCACTATGGGATAAGTAGTATGCCACTAATATTTCTCTAAAAATAAGTAAGTTATTTTTCTTTTGAAAATAAATAAAAGTTGTTTTTGAAACCCTCAGAGATAGTCAGATCTTCATTATACATTTCTTCTAGATGCCTTTAATGTTTTGTTGATTCTTCAATTTCCAGCTTTGCTTCTGATGATGCCTTTTGCTTTGTTGTATATAGTTCTTGTCTTGCCTGGCACAACTGCCTCCCATTCTCAGTACCACTGACATATTGTGGCTTTCGTGCTTCTGCTATCCATTGCTAAGGTAAGCTCACATAGTGGGCAAATATTGCATGTCTTTGCAGAACATAAGTTGATAGATTTGAACTGATTTTATTGATTGCCTCTCTCATTGTAGACCAGGGATGGGCAACCTAAAACTACTATAAGCCCCAGTTTGGTGGTCCTCTGAACAGCACCACTAAAGTAAATGTTGGTTGAATAATTTCCTGATTATTGGAGGGTGGTGGGGAGAGCTGTGGCAACTTTTCAGTGAGTTACAATATTGATCACGAAAAGTTTATTCATTTCAAATGTAGAAGTAAATGGAGGCCACCTACAAAGGAGGAGGTGGTATGATGGATTACAGTGAAATGGCAGTTTCCCAGGAAGGAGGGAACATTCTCAGGAAGGGGGTAAAGCAAGCGGCAGCACAGTTCCATGCTGGGTCAAAGACAGAGTTAAGATTACCACTCCTTAAAATCTGCCATATCTGCTGGGGTGAGAATAGTAAAGGTTTGGTCTGGCAAGATTCTGTCTATTGGTATGAGCAAATAAAGAATTGAACTTAGCCTGGCATCTCTTGGAGGTGTTCTTGGAGGTGAGCCTGACAAGATATCCAAACAGCTTCATATGCTTGTTGCATTCAAATGTTCTAGACTATCTTTCACATTAATGACCTCATTATTTTTCCAAGTGTGTCCCTACTGGGAAAACCTCCTCATAGTTCCATTATGTCAATGGCTACTGGGAAAAACTTGATCTTCATTCCTAAAAAGGTAAGGCAACGTTTCAATTGGATGTCTCATTTGCATGGAGTACAAGAAAACTTTACAAAGGGTTAATTTTTTGTCAGTTGCTTATAAATGATCCCTCCTTCTTTTCCAATAGATGCCTTATTGACCAAGCTCCAGCTTATGCAAGAGAGTTCTCTTAGATATCTGGCTGGGACTAAACAAATTTTCATTCTTCTTTTGCATCAGACAGATCTAAATCCAATTATTTATCAAATTTCTTTGCTGCTGACTCATAAACAATACAGTACTTTTAAACTGTACTATATCATACAATGTCCTTAGTACCAAACATCATGAGCTTCTGCCTATGAGAATGTGAGGGCTTAGCTTGGAACTGTGGGTTTTGGATAGTGGTGGATTCCGGATCCCGTTGCAACTGGTACGCTGCAACGGGCCCCGGCGTCCATCACGTGCATGCACACACTGCACGCATGCATACTTACTGCCCGTGACACTCCAGCTGTTCGGCGGAGCGTCGCACAGGTGCCATACATTCTGTGCACGAAAGCCCCAATTGGCTCAAATACAGGTAAGGAGGGCGGGTGGTGGGTGGGCCCTCCGGAACACCATACCGGAACGGTACTCTCAGCAGGCACTGTAGTATCCCACCACTGGTTTTGGAGACTATACTGGTGATGTTGAACCAAGCATGGAGGGTCTGTTTTTGAACCTGGTTGGTCTGTGGATATTGATGGTTTCAAATGCTTTTGTTTTTAACTTCAGAGGAGTTTATTGCCATGATAACGATTTTCTCAGTATTTTTGTTAGAAGTTCACATCTAATCTCTGTGGTTGATTTTCAAGGGCTCTTCTCAGTAACTGAGAAGTAACTGAATCTTCTGGACTCTATACCATTGAGAAAGCCACCTAAAAACTCAGCAATGCATTTCCTCCAAAACACTAGCAAGTGGCTAATTTCATCCTTCCCAGACCACAGATCATCACAACTAACAGCAGCCATGTGGCCTCTATGACAATCCAGTTTATTTTAAGTAGCAACCCAATTGTTTAGTGGTACCAACTGGTAATTCGGTGCTTCTGCAATTGCAACTTGGCTAGTGCAGGGAGAGTGTTTGAATCATCTTCCCCACATAACATTGGTCTTGTTGGCATTGTTTGTAGACTCAGCATTACTTCCTCTTCTGCTTCCTGTTGAAGTTCAGTCTCACCATCTGCTCCTGCTTGGCTTGTTTTGGCTACTTGCTGCAAGATTACTGTGCAAACTTCAACTCATCTTCCTTCAGCGTGAATGTCACAGGCTGCTTCTCCCTCGTGCTGCAAAGGTAGGCTTCAGGGATCTCTCTTTTTTTTTCTCTTCAAAACAAACATACAACTCCTCCTTCTTTACATATTGTAGAAAGTGTATCAGCTGGTTACAAAAG